CCTCCGCCCCAGCGTACACCCGTTGCCCACAGTTCTGCAGCCAGCACTGTCCCTCTGCTCATCATCATCCTTCACCCTTGGGTCCATCTCCTCCCTGGATTCCCATGTGCCGTGGGTACCACATGTGCCACCTCAGCGACATCAGCTGCACGGTCCTGTGCCTGGGAGCACGAGAGTCTGAGGCCATGTGGATGTGGAGTGACCTACTGGAGGGGACTGCCTGCAGCCCTGCACCCAGGCCTGGTGTTGCTCCTGGCTCCAGGCTCCCCATATCCATTGGACACACTGGATGCACTGAGCCAGGCAGCCCGGAGCTACTAACCATCAGGGGTTTGTCTCCCAGATGGGGAATGGCCATCAGCTTGCCTCAGGCCTGGAAGAACATGGCAGGGGTGGGGACGTGGGAATAGCCCCAGCTCACGCCACCCACTCCCCCCCGGCATCTCTGCTGGGGCAAAGGCAAGGGTGGTGATGGGAGCACATCAAGGGAAACCCACACAGGGAGCAGCTCCAGGAAGACGTTTGAGAGAATCAGATAAAAGCCAAGGAAAGGAACCGTCTCTCTGATCTTCTGCAGGTAGGAGGGATGCGCTCTGCAGCTGGAGGTAGCAGAGCTGAAGACAGAGGGTTATGTTTTTAAGCCTACGACACCCTTTAATTCATTCCTCGCGAGCTTTAGATCATCCTTGTGAGAAGGCGAGGAAGGAGACGAGTGTGAGCTCCACTGCAGCGGGTTTGATGATGCTTGGGACAGGCAGAGGCCAGCTGGTGGTCACAGCAGAGGCTGAACCCTGTGTACTGAGACCTACTGCTGGTCCCTGGCTGCTCAGAATCTCTCCCACCTAACTGAACCCACACTTCTTGAGCCGGCTCCAAACTATGAGGCTGGCTGTGCCACCTGCACAGGGGCTGTGCCCACAGTCTGGCCCCTAACGAGGAAACAAACCTGCCTCAAGGTCACGGTCTCATCCCCTGGGCCCAGCACAGGGGCACTGTTGCGGACCAGCCCTCTGGGGACCCTGGTCAGCACTCACACATGGACATTGCCTCCCCAGCACCCAGGGTGCAGGGAGGAGCACAGTTTTGCAGCACCTCATCCTCCTCCTTGCACCTTCCTCCTTCTCCTTGCCTCCCTCCAGCTGCGTGGTCCCGTGCCGGGGAGCATAAGAGCCTGAGGCCATGTGAATGTGGAGTGACCCACAGCAGGGGATCACAGACACGAACCCATCTCCAGGCTGCTCAGACAGGTCTTGCCCGACAGCGGCACTGCTGGATGCACTTCCTGGGGCTGGGGGGCGGATCAAGCAGTCTCCAGC